TGCATTTAAGTTATTAAAACAGAATCACAATGAGAGTTTTAATTAATCCCTTTTTTATAATTTTTGTTTTTTTTTATCTCTCTCCTCTTGTTATATAGTAATATCAGTGGTTTCCTTTTTTTCATGTTTGTTTAAAAGTGCATATCTTTTTCTCTTCTGTATAGCGATATCAGTGGTTTTATATATGAACTGTGCATTTTTCCTATTCTCGTTAAATTAAATGTAAGATTAAATGTCAATATATATGACTTTATCACCGTCTGTCAATTAAGAATTCTTTGTTTTGTTACGTTCTTGAATTCGAGAAGACAAATATCATATTGTAACCCATTATTCTTATGATTATCGTTGCTTATATCTTATATCTTAATATATGATATAAGATATAATATATATATAAATATAAATATATAATATATATAGATAATAACTTCTTCATCTCTTCCTCTCTTTCTTCTTACCATCCTCTCTCTCTCTCACTCACTCTCTCTCTTTTCATCTCTGTCTCTGTCTCTGTCAACGTTTTCATGGCTTGAAATAATAATATAACGAGATCTATTGTGATCGTTGTCATTATTAGAAATGATGATGATGATAATGATGATGATGGTGATAATGATAATAATAATAATAATAATGACAACAATAATGATGATGATGATAACAACCTTTTAGCAGTAACAGCATCGTGCAATGTTCAAACAAATTCTTTTTTTTGTAATTTTTATTATAAACATACTGGAGTAATAATGGCTATGTAATGGATGATTATGATGGTAATGATAGGGGTATAAGTAGCAGTAACAATCAGTATCATTCTTATAATGACAATAATAACAGTACAATAACAATAATGATAATGACAATATATGTGGATACACGAGAATCATCATTCACGAGTGTAGAATTTTTTCTGAATGAAGAATCCTTATCTCATTATCATTCTTACAGCAATAGTGTAAATACATGAATGACTGTCATATAAGTTATGCAGTCAACGTCCATCATCTAATCTACAATACAATCTTGGTGTATCCATTTTACTAGAACATTAATGCATACAATTATAGATCACTCTGTAAATTGTCACGTTTGGGTGACATCCAACATTCTGGTGCCCTCAATGAGCTGCCTATCGGAATGTAGAGTGGAGGACACAGTCGCGTCTCCATTGCAGCAGTCTGTCATGTTGTCACCCAGGCAAGCGTCTCCATTGCAGCAGTCTGTCATATTGTCACCCAGGCAAGCGTCTCCACTACAGCAGTTTGTCATGTCACTTGTCTCCAAGCGGCGGGGCTGGAGGAAGGGACAAAACCCTTGGCTCTCTGTGTTTAAGCTTCACCTGGCTTGACCCCTTCCATGGATGACTTTTGAGCCGCCAATACCTGGCCAGGTGTGTAGGCAACATCAAGGCGTGAAGACTTGTACTTTCGAGCGAACAAAAGAAATGTAAAGGCAATGAATTACAGTGGTAATATATAACAAGTATGGAAACACTGACTAACTAGAAGCACTCAGGGAGCCCATACTTCCGCCAAGACAATAGTGTCACTGATGCAGTAAAGATATTCACACTTGAAATTTATTGACATCTTAGGAGGGCTAAGAGGTAAAAAACTTTCTTAAAAATCTGTTATCCGGCTTACCAACTAACAAACGCACAAACTAACCAACGCTACAAGAACATAACCTTGGCGAAGGTAATAAGGTCACAGGTAACACCAATCAACAGGTGTTCTTCAGCATTGGTGCAGGTATTAAAAACTATCAATTACTTTGGGTTGCAATGCATATACACTTACATACGTACACACACGCATACACAAATATATCATATATGTGTGCGTGTGTGTGGCAGAGGGTGGAAGTGTATTAAGAAGAGAGAATTATACAGTCTAGATTTGACAGACGCAGACACAAATGTTCGCCAGAGTCCAACACCGAGGCAACCCTAAAACTCGACCCGGATCTACAGCCAGAGCACGCTGGCCACTCCGCATCAATACTTTTGCATTCTGGAGTCCCAGAGATCGTTGAACTGCCTCTCCACGTCTTCGTACTCCTCGGGATGGAGCTCCCTGAAGCGCTGCCCGATATAGTGCAAGCGAGCAGAGTGAATCCCGAAGTCCTGAGCTTGACTGAACGCCTGCTGGAATAAAGGTACAGGAAGCCCATTAAGGTTCATGAGATTAAGAGGTCAAGGAAAGGGAGAAAGAGAGCTTGACTGAACGCCTGCTGGAAGAAAGAAAGGAAGCCCCAGGTAGAGCTTGACTGAACGCCTGCTGGAAGAAAGAAAGGAAGCCCATTAAGGTTCATGAGATTAAGAGGTCAAGGAAAGGGAGAAAGAGAGCTTGACTGAACGCCTGCTGGAAGAAAGGTACAGGAAGCCCATTAAGGTTCATGAGATTAAGAGGTCAAGGAAAGGGAGAAAGAGAGCTTGACTGAACGCCTGCTGGAAGAAAGAAAGGAAGCCCATTAAGGTTCATGAGATTAAGAGGTCAAGGAAAGGGAGAAAGAGAGCTTGACTGAACGCCTGCTGGAAGAAAGAAAGGAAGCCCATTAAGGTTCATGAGATTAAGAGGTCAAGGAAAGGGAGAAAGAGAGCTTGACTGAACGCCTGCTGGAAGAAAGGTACAGGAAGCCCATTAAGGTCCATGAGATTAAGAGGTCAAGGAAAGGGAGAAAGATAGAGAGATGGGAGTGAGGGAGTGAGAGCGGGAAGGGAGAGAGAATCCCTTTTCATCCAGTTTTTATGATCACATGTTGAGAGGGAGGGAGTCAGATGCCTTTGAGAACCATCCTTGAGATACGATGAAGTGTAGGCTGTTGATCGCTGTGCTTGAATAACATTGCTGTTGCAGTGATCGTAACTCTTCACTTGCAACTTGTGAGTACGAGACTTTGCAGGGGAGAAAATGTCTTTGGGTTCTGCTCTGCTTGAGGCATAATAGGGAGAGTGAATAGGAGGAGGGAAGAGAGAGAGAGAGAGCGGTAAAAGGGTAGTGGAAGAAGGAAAGCAGAGGAAGAGGGGAGAAGGTAAATTACAAGGACGGGAGGGAGGAAAAGAAAGAGGGAGATATATATATATATATGGGGGGAGGAAGAGGAGATAGAGGAAGGGGAGGGGAGGGAAGAAGGGTTTGGAATGAGGTGGGAGGGGATGGGGAAAGTGGGAAGAGAGGAGAGAATTAGACGAAGGGCGACTGGGAGGAGGGGGGAAGAGTAGGAGGGGAGGGTGGTGAGAGAGGGAGGAGGACAGGAGACAGCGATGGGGGACGGTGAGGGAGAAAGATGGAAAGGATAGGAGGTGAAGTGGATGGAAAGAAAGGAGAGAGAGAGAGGACTGGGGAAGTGGAGAGAGTGGAGCGAGGAGGGGTCTAGAGATAGCATTCCAAGGGGTGCGAGAAATGTCCATCTTGAAGACAAGTAATTAATATATTTCTTACTCATAATCAAGAAACAGGAAGAAAAGAGCCATTGACATGAAAATGTGAAAATTCATTAATACAAACCTTTTAAAGTTTGTTCTTTGAATTTTACATGTAGATATTTCGAGCAAGTGATTATCTTTTGTAGGATTTAAATATGTTACAAATTTAAAGGAGTACGAGGATACAGTAAAATTCTCTTAGGGGTGCGGGCGTAAAAAAAGTTGGGAACCACTGGTCTAGAGGAAGGGAAAGTGGGAGAGTAAGAGAGACAACGAAAGAGTAAAAAGAATAGGATTTGAAGGAATAAAGAAAAGAGAGAGAGAAGAGGGGAGTGGTAAATAAATTCAAAGCTTAAAAACTAGTCGCAGAAGGGAGCAGAAGAGAGATAGAGAGAGACAGAGAGATATACCTAAAAATCATCACAGAGAGAGAGAGAGAGAGGGAGAAGGTTCCAACCAACCTCCAACACGTTAGCAGACGCCGGCAGAGCAGGAACGGGAACAGTGTCCATGCTCTCTCCCAAGCCAAGGCAGCCCTCTTGGTGACTCCCCTGGTTGCGGTCTTCGCGGGGCATCTTGGGCGGCGGCGGGTTGCCCGAAGACTTGGGGACGTCTCGGCGAGGGCACGCGCTCACCTTGACATCCAGGACCTCGCGCCCCTCAACCACGCCACTGCTGGCAGAAGCTTGGGTTAGTTCGAATCAAAGTATGTTTTGAACATGTTTTAGGATACCGTTCCGAGAAAAAGTATATTTGATTTGTCTGTAGCCTTACATTCTTTTATAATTATTGCTGTAGATTAATATAGATCATTACGGGGTTTTGGTCCCTTCAGGACAACGGGCCAGGGGGTCAGACCTGGTCCGCAACCCCTTAGGACCGCCTCCCGGGCTATTCCTCCTGAAGAAGAGAGACTACAAATAACCACTCTAAGACGCGACCTTGAACGGAACTCTTGCAGATGACAGACATGAGTGACCTGCTTTGCAATCCTTCTTCATAAGGGATTTACTTACGCCGACACAGATCCTTGATGGCAGAATGAACGTAATTATCCCTATTCGCCCCAATTCACGAGAAGTGCTAACTTTCACAGGAACTTAAGGATGAAAGTGATTTCCTTGTGAACATGAAGACCCAAGGTAATGCAGACATGAGTGCCATGACCAAGACAGACAGCGATGTGCAAATGCAATTAATTCTTGCAGAAGAATTAGACTTGCATACGAAAAGTAACAAAATATGTGAGGAACTATATAGATCCAAAATTATTCGCACAAGAAATTCTCAATATGAAATCCGCTGAGAACTTAACTAAAGTTACTGATCACTTTGTAGAGATGAAGGCAAGAAACGTTTTAATTTTCGTAGATTATTCTTCGAATGTTTCGTATGTGTATGTGGATTTCTTTATCATAATTTTACCTATTTGTTATTATTATTATCATTATCATATATTATTATTATCATTATTATTATTATTTGCTGATTCTAAATTAGTTCACGTGTGTATATTTTTAAGTACCACATACATTCCAGCCGTGAAAATGGTATAACCAAGAAACCCACTGTTCAGAATTTAAACTGAGTATACGGCCAGTTTGTTAAAATTGTGCCAGGCCCAACCTAATAGACTCTCATGATACAGACACGCACATACACAAATAAATGTATATCTATCAGTCTAGACACACACATCTACCGTGCAGACAAAAAAATAAATATATTCATTTGATAGATCGATAGATTTGCATTTACTTCTGTGTATATAGATGTCTGTTTATACGAATATTCACTGGGTTCGGGCCTGGCACAATTTTAACAAACCGGCCGATAGTCAATCAAAATATTCATATCAGCCAGCTATGATATAATGTCTTAAATTCTATTACCAAGCCTGTTATTTATGTTCTGAAATATACATTGCATATGTGAAACGAGCCTAAATGTGAAAGTGTTTGTTTTATATTTATATTATAGTGGGCACATTTATATAAACCTAACGTTTTCTCAAACGCTATCAGTTATACACACACACACACACACACACACACACACACACACACACACACACACACACACACACACACACACACACATATATATGTATATGTTGGGACCTAAAGTAATGATAGCCACGGACTTCAAAAAACAACAAAAATGATAAATAAAAAAATAATAATGGCAATGATAATATAAGGATGATGATGATAACAATAATAATAATAATAAATAACAATAATAATAAAGATAATAATAACAATAAAATAATATAATAATAATAATAACAACAACAACAATAATAATAATAATGCAGTAAAACAAATCCAGAGAAATACACAATACCCACAAGGGATTTTATATGCAAATACTACATTGATTCCTCACTGCACATGAACCGGCTGCGGTTCCATCGATTACCACACTTTCCTGCCCTGGGTTCTCATGAGTCATAGCCACAGATAAGAGAGATATGATAACAGGGTGCGCCATATTTATTGATTATTAGAGAAACCTGATATCTGAGCTTTATTATTATTTTTTTTTTTTTTTTTTTTTTTTTTTTTTTTTTTTTTTTTTGCTGTTATTGTCATTGTTACATGTACCACTGTTATTGTCAGGAATGAAAGTAAGTATGATGTAAGTAATGATGATGATAATGATGATGATGGTCATGATAATGAGAAAGATAATAGTAATAATAATGATAAGAAATAATGAAAATAATTGAAAAATAATAACCGTAGTAATAATATTGATGGAAAATAAAAGGCATAATAATAATAATAATAATGACAATAGTAATAATAATGATAATGATTAAAATTACAATGATAATCATAATCATAATAATTGTAATTATAATAATGACAATGATGATAGGAATAGCAATGATAATAATTATAAATTTAACATTGATAAGAGCAGTACCAACAGTAGTAGTAAAAGTAATGATAGTCATAATGACAAAGATCATAATGATGATGATTATGGTGAGGACGGTGATGATGATAATGACAATAACGATAACAAGGAGTAGGAGTAGTAGTAGTAGGAGTAAGAGGAGTGGGAGTAATAGTAGTAGTAGGAATAAGAGCAATAGTATGAGTAGTAGAAGTAGTAGGAGCAGTTGTGGGAGTAGTAGGAGGAGGAGCAGTAGTGAGAGGAGTAGCAGTATTAGTAGGTATAGTAGTAGGAGTAGTAGAAGTTGGAGTAGAAGTAGTAGTAGTAGTAGAAGGAAGAGGAGGAGCAGTAGTGGGAGTAGCATTAGGAGTAGGGGCAGTAGTAGGAGGAGCAATAATGGGAGTAATAGTAGGAGTAGAAGCAGTAGTAGGAGTGGGAGTGGAAAAGTAGTGGGAGGAGTAGGAGTGGTAGAAGGAGTAGTATTAGGAGTAGGGGTAGTAGTAGGAGTAGTAGTAGAAGCAGTAGCGGGAGTAGCAGGAGTAGGAGGAGGAGGTGGAGGAGCAATAGTGGGAGTAGAAGCAGTAGTTGGGGTAGAAGCAGTAGTAGTAGTAGTGGGAGTAGTAGTTAGTAGTGGTAATAGAAATGGTAGAAGTAGTAAGTCAATATATTGATGATGATAACATACTTATCATTACTATTGCTTCCATCATGCTCATCATCACTAATACCATTACCATTCTCAGAGCCAACATTCTCCACACCCTCATCCACCATCCTCATTCACTCATCAACGCCTTCCCTTACTCTCTTTCCAGCTGGCAGATCAGCATGAGGTCCTTCCGCGTCAGGCAGGAGTTGCGGCAAAGAAACCTCAGCTGCACGTTGTACACTCCGGCCGAAGCTGGTGCCGGGCGGACCATGACGGAGGGGTGGAAGTCGTAGTCCCACCTGGCCTCGTCGTTTCCTGCAGACACTTCCAGCATGTGGTCTAAAGGGGGAAGAATGGAGGAGAGGAGGTAAGGAGGAAGAGGAGGTAGACTGGCCGAAGGGAGCAGACTGAACTCTGAAATTTACCGTCACTTCCCAGGCGCATGTGGTCTGAGGAAGAAGGATGGAGAAATCGAGGCAAGGAGGAAGAGAAACGAAATGATCATGGAAGGGGGTGGGAATAGATTGAACTCTTCGCTCCGTAGACATTTGTAACACGTGATCTGAGGAAGAAGAAATGGAGGCAAAGAGAAAGAGGAGGTAGACTGGTATCACAGCCGAAGGGAACAGATTGAACTCCTAGATTCTCACTTTCGACGTGTGTTTTGGGGGAGGGCAAAGCAGAGGAAGTGATAAAAGCGAGAAAATGAGAAAAGGAAGGAAATGCGTTCGCCACCTGAAGGATGAGAAAAGGCGAAAGATGAAGGTATACGGAATGGGGAAGAGAGAAGGGTTGAAGGAGAGAACGGAGGGGGATTAAAGGATGACTGATGAATATAAGGAAGAGAAAGGGGTGAATTAAAAGAAGATAAAAGAGTTAAAGAAAATAGGAAAGGGAGAGTGTAAAGGTACGGTCAGACTACCCATCGATTCTTGAAATACAGCGATTTTTAACAAAATTTGCCCATCGAGGGACAATCTTCTGGACTTTCGCCCACATTTCAATGCGGCGGATACCCACTCGTGCATTGATGGACGAATGGAAAAACTTCGCATTGTATACATATATTTTCATTTCAAAGCATTAATATTATTATTTCTTAATTATTCATGTTTAGATTTACATCAAGATTTGCATTTAAATCTAAGCAAATATACGAAAAAAGTAAAAACAAAAGCACTGACCATGGATTCTCATTTGACTGACGAATATAAACAAACCCGTAGCCGTCAACTTCAAGTGGAATCCGCAGATCCCGTGAATATTCGAAATGTGAAATTCTGAAGCAATTTACTCGCTCTTAGAAAAGGTTAGAACTCCGAAAACACGAAAGAATAACAAGAGTTGGGGAGAAGATTGCGGGATCCACAGCGAGTTTCTGCTCTTTGTTTTGATGCCGCGATTCTACTGGACGAAGCCGATGGTTCTTTTCGCAGTGTGAAAACCGCGGTTGGGTAGTCTGACATTCCTTTAGACAGATACAATAAACAGATAAATTGGCAAATAGAGTATGCAGGCTTATATATGCGTATATTTATTTGCATGTGTGTGTGTGTGTGTGTGTGTGTGTGTGTGTGTGTGTGGAGTGAGGAGTGGAGTGAGTGAAGTGTGATGTGTTTGTGTGTGTGTGTGAGTGAGCGAGAGAGAATGTGTGTAAGGGAGGGGGAGAGAGAGTGTATGTGTGAGAGAGAGAGAAAGTGGGGGAGAGAATGAGTGAGTGTGCGGGTGTGATTGCGTACTTCTTAGTTTTGTCTAAAACAACAGCAGAAACGATATGGGAAGATTAGAGACAAGGACAGGGCAATAGGGGGGGGGGGAGACGAAAGGGAGGGAGGGCTTCTGATAAGATTTTCTACGAGGAGTCCGGGTTCGCAGCTCAGTGTGCCCAACAGAGAAATTATATCGATAATGATAATAACCATAATAATGATGATAATAATGATAATAATAACAATAACTAGAAGCACTCAGGAACCACATACCCTCGCAATAAAGGTATTCACACTTGAGGAATTACATTAAAATCACCACTTCCTCAAGTATATTGGTGACGTCCGTAATCATACTCTCCTTGGCGAAGGTAAGAAAGGTAAAGATAATAATAGTTATCCCTAAGAACTTTTTGGCTCCGAATTATGACCCAGATCAGCAAAATTTAATGGCATCTAAGTAAGGTTAAGACACATCTCGGGTAAGTAGTAGTAATAGTAATAATAATAATGATAATAATAATGAATGAATAATAATAATTAATAATAACAATAATGATAAAAAGCAATAACAACAACAACAGCAATATCAATATACAACACACAACTAACAATAACAAAATACAATAACAAAATAATAACAACAACAATAACAATGACAATAGCAATAATAACAATAACAATAAAATTGGATAATTTCGAATGATGATTAATAATAATAATTATCCCATTCAATAATGATGATAATAGTAACAATGATATGATGATTATCAATAATAATAAAATAATAATAATAATAATAATTAATAATAATCCATTATATATATATTCGTAATAACATCATTAATTAGATTATCAATAATAACATCAATAGTAATATTGATAATAAACGATGATAATAGTGATAATGATAACGAGGATAATGAAAATAATAATGAGAATAATTAAAATAATAATAATAATGATAAAAATAATACAATGACGATAAAATAATAAAATAATGATAATAACAAATATAACAATACAGATCAATATAATATAATAAAAATCATGATTGGAATAATAACTAATGATATATCATAAAAATAAATGACGATAAAACGATAAAAATGATAATAAAATATAAAAAAATAAAAATAGTATAATGATAACAATATAAGTAAAAATAATAACGATAATGTAAAATAAAAAATAACTAATGATAACAATATATCAGTAAAAATAATGACGATAATGATTAAAAGAAATAAAAATAGTAATAATAACAATACACCAGTAAAATAATGACGGTAATTATTAAAAGAAATAAAAATAGTACTAATGATAACAATATACCAGTAAAAATAATAACGATAATGATTAAAAGAAATTAAAAATAGTAATAATGATCACAATATACCAGTAATAACAACAACGTCATTACTAACAACAGCAAGAGTAGAAATGAACACCTACACGGATGGTTCTCATTCTGGTGGTTCCTGCAGGGCAAGACGGGCTGCGCGGTCTCGGAGTCGCGGGAAAACACGATGAAGAACCGCAGCCAAGCCCGAGGGCCGGCCGAGTGGTGTATGATCGTCGTGATGTAGTTATTCATCAGCGTATTGATGTGGCGTCGTTCTCCAATGTTGCTCTGCGGGGGGGGGGGGGGATTTTTAGGGTATTCGTTCATATTGCTTTGATGTCCTTCTTGGTTTTGAATCTTTATCAGTTTGGTTGTTTTTTTTCTATTTTTGGTATGTTGATATTGAATTGATGATAAAAAAAACGATTTTACATGTATTGAAGAACAGGGATGTTTAATGTACTTACAACGATGAACTTGGGCGAATTCCCAGGGAACGTAACCTTGAAGCCATGACTCCCCTCAATTCTATTCCTCTGAGGGAACTGGGCGACGGGGGGCCCACGCGTCGATTCTAGGCACTGAGACAACTGGGCCACGGGGGGCTCCCGGGCCGTCTCTGGGCCCTGAGGGTCCTGTGGAAAGAGGGGCGAGGTGGCCGTGCACTTAAGTGGAGCCCCGTACTGCTCGCTGTAGTCGCTCGGCCTCTTCCCGCCGACGCTGAAGGGGGTGAAGAGAGCCTGAGAGCCTCCAGGCCGCGAGACGGGCTGGGCGGGAGAGCAGCTGTTGCCCGAAGGAGGCTGCGCGAGGCTGTTCATGGTTCCTCCGTTGGTCAGCGGTTGCCCTGGGAACTGCGGACGGAACGATGGCTGGTTCTGTCCGCTGTACGGCTGTTGCTGAGGGACTTCTGCGGCCACATACTGCATGTGCACCTGCAGGGCGTTCGTTCCCGCAGACGGCGCGGAAGAAGTCTGAGGATGGCTGGGAGCGGGGAAGCCGGAGGGCGTCTGTGCGAGGGGCTGGTTGACCTGGTGGCACAGCGGCTGACTCTGGATTGCCTGAGGAGTTGGTTGAGGAGTATTCTGGGGCGTGTAGGGATGGTTGCCGTATATGAGGCTGAGTATCTCGTTTCCTACCCAGTCATTTGGAGTGTTCTCTTGCTGGAAAGCGATGAAGGAGAAAGTTAGCACACGACAAGAGGACGAGGAGAGTGCTTTCCCTTTTCCCGGAGTGAGCCAGACGATTTTTTCATCATTATTTGCAAACATTTGCTTCAATATTGTTTATAATTGTATATTTACATATATTGTACGTGTAAACACAGGCATACACATGTATATGTATACAAGATTTTTACATACGTATATATTCATATCTATGTATGAATATTCCCTTACATAAAAAAAAATTACTCAGTGTAGACAAAATAAAAATCTCAAGCCCCGCTCTCTTGATTCAAAGGTAATTTCATGCCTCTTCTTTATATGAATCCCAGCTCACGTTTTGGTCACTATTACCCTTTAGAACATACGCGAAAGGAATATAAAAAAGAGGGGGATAAGGAGGAGGAGAAGAAGAAGGTGAATGTCGAGAAAAAGAAAGGAAGGAAGCTGAAGGTCGAGAAAAGGAAAAGAAAGAAAGAAGACGACGAAGAATAAGAAAGTGAAGAGGGAGAAAAAGAGGATGAAGAAGGCAGAGAAACATTAACAAATATGAAAGGGGAGAAAATGAACACTAAAGAAGGGGAAGTATGTGTACAAGAAGATAAAGTAGAAGGCAGGGAATTGAAAAGAAACAAAACAGAGGAGGAGAATAATTAAGAAGCAGGAGAAAGAGGAGAAAAAAGAGGAAGACGATGGGAAAAGAAAGACCAAGAAGAAAGCAACAGAAAGGAAAACAAAGAAAAGAGAGTGAAGCGGAAATATGATGAAGATGGACAAGAAGAAGAAGATGAACAGAAGAAGGCGAAAAAATGAACAAGAAGGCGAAGAAGATGGACAAGAAGAAGAAGATGAACAGAAGACGAAAAAGTTAATGAACAAGAAGGCGGAGAAGAAGATGGACAAGAAGAAGAAGATGAACAGAAGGCGAACAAGGAAATGAACAAGAAGAAGAAGATGAACAGAAGGCGAAAAAGGAGATGAACAAGAAGGCGAAGAAGGACAAGAAGAAGGAAACGAAGAAGAGAACAAACTGAGTCTAACAACCTTGGTCACTCTACTCCTTCTACATTACTCTTACCTGCTGTTGTTGCTGCTGTTGAGGTTGCAGTTGTTGTTGCTGCTGTTGGTGGAAAGGTCCGGGTGGATCTGGCGCGTCGGACTTTAGTTTCTTGACCATTTTGAGAAGATTTTTCAGAAGATTTTTTTTTTACCGGGATATTTCACCTTCCCGTTTCGCTCGGTCGTCTGGCTCTCCTCTCTCGGCGGCGCGGGGGCTTCGGCGACTTATCTTTCTATCTTATCTTATCTGATTATTTTCATGGTTGACGTGTACAAGGCCTGGTCATGTCGAAAGGAGATGACGCAGGAAGTGCTTGAATTGATATACATATATATATATATATATATATGTGTGTGTGTGTGTGTGTGTGTGTGTGTGTGTGTGTGTGTGTGTGTGTATATATATATATATATATATATATATATATATATATATATATATATATATATATTATGTGTGTGTGTGTGTGTGTGTGTGTGTGTGTGTGGTGTGTGTGTGTGTGTGTGTGTGTGTGTGTATAATAATAATAATAATAATAATAATAATAATAACAATGGCAATAATAACAATAAAAACAATAATAATAATTACGTCACATAGCCTCGATATCAACGACTGCTTTGCTTTCCTTACAGCATCTTTATCTTATCTTATCTTCCAGCCTTTGTAAACCCGTCTCAAGCAACATTAAGGCCGTTCCTGTTGAGTCGGCGATTTTCAAAAGCATTGTTACATGGAAGGCTGGAGACAGACGTGGAAAAAGTGTGGGGTAGGCCTATGTAAATGTTGTTTTAACTGAAAGGAGAAAGATGATAAACTAATTATAATGAAAATATGTGTAGATTTACAGACGGATAAACTAAGGACAGAAAGGTAAAAAAAAAAGAAAGATAAAAATTATGATTACTTACGAACTTGCACTTAATTATATTCTTATGATTTTACTTTAGTGTGTCCTAAAATTAACGTCCGAACAAAACACGGTCCGTTTTCTATGGATATTAGTTTGTAGGTAAACCATAAATTCCTGTTTAATCCATTGTTGTTCTAGATGTTATTACTCCTTGTTTTCATTATCGTGTGAGGACATGAAATAGCGTCTTATGATTTTCTAAGCTCTAATTTAAGCACCGAAATTAACATTACTCATTTAGACTGGGTCTCTAGTATTATTGATTAACAATCGTTATTTGACTGTTTGTTATTACTATTTGATTCAGTTGTCAGTACATTATTATAAATATTGTTCAGTGTTTCTGATAACCGAGAAATGTAATAATTTTTTTACATATCAATGAAAACAAACTTGAGTTTATGCCTATTCTGTAAAATAGTCACGATCGTTAATATTTTCTTGTTTAATCAAATTCAGAAATGCATACAATCTTGTAATCGGTTTATTTACAAATGTCAATAGGATAATAGTGACGTTGATTCAATGTTTTCAAAGACGCAGGACAACTAAATATTTTGGTAAATGCGAATTAACTTGATGGAATAAATAAATTCATATCATGCTACATTGTCTTATATGATTCATAGATTAGGTTGTATTTTATTTCTTGCAGAATCTTTCAATGCGAGGGATCAGTAATAAAACCAAGATATATTTCATAGTAATATTTATTATGTTCTAAAGATTTTATACAGTTATCATAAATTTCGATATATTAAAAAGTCAAAAGTTAATCACTTAAAAATAAATAAGATTAGTGTTTAGCAAAATAAATACATACATGTGTTAAGTCTGACTATAAAAGGATTCTTAAAGATGAAAAAGACTGAAGTATAATAAAAAAGCGTCAATCCTATATACGATAAAATATCTTTACAAAAAAGGGGTTTGATTCCACAGTCACAGTGACAACAATCAGGCCTAAGTCACAACTATAAGAGAAACAAATTTGGCAATGAAAGTATAAGAGAGAGAAAATACGAATATCCGTAATAACTTACACAAGATGAAAATATCAAATTGACAAGGAAGAGAGAAACGAATATTTTGAAAATCAGGAGAGATGATAAGATGTAAAAAAAACAAAAACAAACAAACACGCCATCTAGCTTGTTGTGAAACTCCGACCCTGACATCATACACCGAAGAAAACGGGGAGAGAGGCTTCTGCGCCGCCTTCGAATCTAAATTAATGCCAAATTCATTGTTCATTTCGAAAGGTGTAACTCGCTTTTGAGCAGAAATACAGAATGGAAGTAGCACTGGACGCATAGGAAATGACGACGAATAAAAGGAGGTACAGGAGAATCGAGTAACTAGTGATAAAAAAGATGTGTGAAAGAAGCGACCAGATGAGTGTTCACGTGTTGTGATCACGATAAGTAAGAGTAGCTCTGCAACCCTCCTTTAAATTTGTGTAATTATATATATATATATATATATATATATATATATATATATTATATATATATATATATATATAATATTATTGATGTTAACCTTCCTCATTTTTTTTTAAATACATCATCTTTACATATAAACATGCCTGGCCTCTTCGATTGTTGAATATATAAAATCGGAAGCACCTTTTTATAACAGGGAGATATATGGTGTGTGTGTGTGTGTGTGTGGTGTGTGTGTGTGTGTGTGTGTGTGTGTGTGTGTGTGTGTGTGTGTGTGTGTGTGTGTGTGTGTGTGTGTGTGTGTGTGTGTGTGTGTGTTTAAAATGTAAAAAAAAGAAACACCATTTAACTTCATTAAAAGGTAAATTGTATCTTAGTTTTCCACGTTTAAAATATATTGTTCCTATTCAATAATCTCTCTATATATCTATATCTTGGCACAGCCACATACGCATTCTTAGACAACCAATCTCTAAACAGGATTCCTGACAGGTTTTTATATTTACAAAATCGTGTGTAGTATTAAAAGTTAGCTAATGTTAAATCGGATAAATCACAAAATAAAAAACTTATTTAAGAAGATCTATGGCTTAAACATTTAAAGAAATAAATGCATATATATATATATATATATATATATATATATATATATATATATATATATAGTATATATATACATATACATATACATAGATGTGCTAGCATGTTTTGACCAAGTTACAACAGCGCCTATGAATAACTTGGTCTCCAATAGTTACAGTGCAGCAGTTATCTCGGGGTAGTACAGGCGTAAACTAATAAGCAAGCCGTTAATCCAATAAATTAACATTATACTATACATTAATTTGGACAAGGCATAGCACTCGTAAAACATCACACAACCAATTGTTATGTTCATCATTTGGTAAAAAGAACAAAGCCGGTGACATCAATACAACTGGTCTCAGTATCAGTCACATTAGCGTTCTCGATTTTGTGTTATTTTACGAATGCAAACAATATTGAGGCCAGTTCACCAACGCAGTGTCCTTATGTACATATTCTAGGTGAAGTCTCTACTCTTCAAATTTCTGTAAATACAAGATCCGTGTCATGTTTTTACAATATATATTAAGTACGTCTGAACCAGTGGTAGGAGACCACACACGCCTCTCGTCTCACGGGGAAAATAATCACAGACGAAAATGTGTGACTGAACAAGCCACGTTTTACAACTAACAAACTTAATATTAACTACAGTGATAATGTGGTTTCACTTTTGTTTTTATTTTATATCTATATATAAAAGAGCATTTGCACTTTGAATGTTCTGTGTGTTGCTTTTCCATACGATCACTATTCGTTACTTCATCTGAATACTCATCAGATAATGTAACTTTGACACTAGGGGTAATATTAGTTACATAGGTTTTGGTATCCATCGAATTTCTAATTGAAATCAAATCTTAAATCAAGGTATTAAGAGTTAAGAAAAATGAAACTGGAACACATGACAAACAGAAGACTATCTTTCATGCGCAATCGTCGGCGCTGATCACCCGTTTTTGGGGCCTTAATTATCGGGAAATATCTAGAAAATATTCTACTTGTCTAATATCTACCTATAAAAAGAAAAGAAGATATAGAACAACTGTGGGCTAGAATACTGTCCAAATAATCTTTTACGAATAAGGCGTGAGGATACAGTGGCCAGTAAGTGTCCAAACTGCACCTGGTTTACAAACGTCACATATTTTTGGAGCCCAACACTTGTTTCTCTCTAAGACGAACATGGCACAAGGGTTCACAGGTCCATGGCACTACAGAGCAAGGGACGAACACAGAGAAGGTTACGACACCTAACACCTTGCCTGTAACAGACATTCACATGACGGTACATACTGATTTGCATGCGAACACACACACACACACACACACACACACACACACACACACACACACACACACACACACACACACACACACACACACACATTTTAATATATGTAACAAATATAATACGTGTGTGTGTGTGTGTGTGTGTGTGTGTGTGTGTGTGTGTGTGTGTGTGTGTGTGTGTGTGTGTGTGTGTGTGTGTGTGTGTGTGTGTGTGTGTGTGTGTGTGTGTGTTTTGTTCATGTACGGAAATGTCGGTCACGGGCTTAGGTGCTCGCAAGAACAATGGAGACTACCAAGCTAAACGCCCCCGGGCGCAGCGCCTCACTTGACCATCGTGCGCGGCGACGACAGGGACAGGTTGCGCGACACGACCTTGACCTTCTTGACGGGCGCGGGGGCGTCTCCGGCGCTCACCTTCGACGAGGAGGACGTCGTCGGCCGCATGAAGGCGGGGAGGTTCCCGCCCTTCCTCGCGGACGCCGGTTTGCCTGCGGGCGTCCCGACGGGCCTTCGGAGGCTCTGCGTTCCCTCGGGCTTCGGCGGCGACGATCGGAAGCTGGCCGAGCGCTCGGCGAGGGGCTTGGAGCTCGAGGCGGCGGACGAGCGCGCCGTCGAGCGAGAGGTCCCTCCGACGCGGCTGTTGCCGGAGTTCGAGCGGGAGAGGTTCTCCTTGGAGCTGCCCGAGTCGCCGCGCTTCACCTTGACGGAGGACGTGGGCGTCGAGCCCGGCGACCTGCGCAGGGAGGTGTTGGAGCCGCTGATGTTCCGGTGGCGAGACTCGGCGGAGGTGAGCGAGCGGACTTGCGCGGGCGCGAGCGGGCGCTTGACTCTGGCGCTGCTGTTGGCCGAGGGCGCGGCAGCCCTGGTGACGCTGGCCGTGCCCCGCCGCAGGGAGCCCTCGCTCGACTGCTTGCTGAGCGACCCCGTCGAGCGCGTGGAGTCAGCCCGGGAGAGCGAGCGCGTGGGCGTGGCGCCCCCGGAGCTGTGCAGGGACCCCGAGGATCGAGTTCGGTCGTCGGGGAAGCTGGGCTGCGCGTTCTCCCCCTTCGGGCTGCACGGCGAGCTCTGCGTGCCCTCGTAGTCGTCCGCGCCTCCACGGCCCATCCGCAGGCTCTTCAGGGTCAGGCTCTTGAGGGCTGAGGTGTAGTCGGTCATCTTGCCCTTCCTGCTGCTCGAGTCGGACTTGTTGCTGATCATGCTGGTCGTACTCGGGGACTTTGAAGGTGGTCTGGCCGGCCGCACCGTATTCACGGACGCAGCCGAGGTCAGGGACGACCGGGAAGAGCGCAGGCTACTCCGCGAGCCCGAGTTCTCCGCCTTCTTGGAAGCTCCTAGACTGCTTTCCTGCCGTCCCCGAAGGCTGTCAATGCGCAGCCCGTTGCGGTTTCTTCTCAGTGACGAGGGCGTCGTTGGCACCTTCTCGATGGACCCATCCGGCACGTCGCCTGTGGACGATGCTCCCTGACTCGTGGTTTCCGACTTGATGCTTCCCGTGTCCTCGAAGCCTTCGTCAACCTCCTTGGTGGTGCTGCCGCGCAGTCTGGTCTTGGAGTGGGGGTCCATGAGCGACCTCGTCCGCGTCTCGCCCCGCCTCAGCCCCGTCGGCTCCTTCGCGTCCAGCTTCGAGAACAGCCTGCTCACGCCGCGGGAGGAGTCGCCGAACACGGACCGCTTCTTATCCTTCTCCTTCTCTTTGTCCAGCGCCTGGCGGACGTGGCTCGGGTCGATGGCGCTGCGAGTGCGGTCCCGTCTGTCCCTGCGAGAAGAATCGCTGGCGCTGCTGGTGACCCTGAATGACCCTCGCGTCTCCAGGCCCTTAGCTACGCTGTCCTGGTTCTTGCGATGCAACCGCTCTGACGCTGGCGGCTTGAGGTCTCCCTTGGCGCCTCTGCCTCTGTCCTCCATCGCTCGCTGAACGTCGTACTTGTCCACATTGGAGCGGAAGCGGCGAGTTATTCTGTCCTTCCAAGAGTCTGTGTCCCTGGATTTTCCTCGCGAAGGATCCTCATCTGTCTTGGAATCCTTGATTCGCTGCCACCGCTTGAGACGCGAATCCTTGTCCTCGTAACTCTCCTGCGGGACCTCAGAGGTCTCGGCCTGCTGGACTTTGGTATGGATCTTCTCTACGCTCGCCTCCTGTTCCTGAGGTGCGTGGCGCTCCGGGGAGGTTGAGTGCGACTTCCTCCCCGCGGAGCTCGCCCTTGAGCCCTCTCCTTCGCGCCGAGCTTCAGCCTCAGCGTTATCTTCGCTGAGTCTGGACTCGGGTCTGTCTTGCATCTTCTTGTGCCTCAGCGTTTTGCGGACGGAGGAGAAGCGCTCGAAGTGGCCGTCTCCAAGGCCGTCGTCATCTATCGACATCGATCGCTCTTTCTGCTTGGCCAGCATCTGCTCCGTCTCACTGTCTCCGTCCTTGGCCAGATCAGCCAAGCGTTTGAAGCGCTGAGTTCTCCTGGCCGAACCGCGCTCTTCGATCTCGCTGCCCGCGCCTTCGTTCTCTGAGCTGTCGACTCCTGTCCTCGTGCGATTCCGTCCCGCCTCCCCGTCTCCTGCGCCCTTCTTCTCCCCCACCAGGGCGCGCCGGTCCTCGCTGGTCAGGCTGCGGAACCTTCGACCGGCCCTGCGGCCATCGAAGTCCTCAGCCTCCTCCTCCTTCTTCGAACTGAGCCAGCGCGAGTCCGACGGCGACCTGAAGCTGCGCATGCTGAAGGCTCTCCTGGTCACCGGCGGCGTCTCGATGTTCTCCGAGTCGATGTCGATCTTGTCGAGCTTGTTTTCGTCCCGGGAAGGCCTCCGGAGGTGCTTCGGGATGGACGGCGGGAGCAGCTTCTGGTCCTCGCCTCGAGACTCCTCCTCTTCCCCTTCATCCTCCTCTGCTTTCTTCTCGTCCTCCTCGTCTTCCTCTTCCTCTGGCTTCTCTATCGCATCGTCGCCCAGAGAGCGTATGGTGCCCACCAGGTGAGCCGACTGAAGGTTGTCCTTGAGGCGCTGCTGGAGAGCCGAGCGGAGGCTGGAGGGCGTCATGGTGCGCTGGTAAATCCGCTTCTCGCGCCGCCCGGACTCGTTCCCTCGCTCGGGGGAGGACTCGGCCTGCGAGGACAAGCAAAGCAGGAGTTCAAGTCTCGTGTAACAGCGCTTGTTAAAGTAGCGTTTTACTCTCCCCATTTTATCTACATAAAACTCACACACCCATTATTCTATCTTAAAAATGCCCATACACTTCAATTACTACAAAATATGCCATCCCCAGCATGGAAAATGAATATTTCAAATAAAATAACACCCTCCCCTTAAAAACAAGGACGCGCCCACCCTCCTCAATGGAGCGGAGAATATCGGCCGACACGTCCACCGAGTGCCGGTACTTCTGGATCAGCTGTTCCGACCTGCTGGAGGGGGACTCGTCGAGGGTGGAGGCAGCCGGGGCCGAACCGCGACGGGGGGAGTCCTCGACTATGAAGGCGCCGTTGTCCTCGTGACCGCTGCCCTCTGGGGGAGAAGGGGCGGTTAGGAGGGCAGGGGGAGGGGGGGATTCAGGAGGAATGGGGTTGGGAGGACGAGAAAGGGGCGCAGAGAGGAGAAAGATGAGCGAGGAAAGAGGGGAGGGGGTGACAGGGAAAGTGGGAGGATGTAGGAGGAGGAAGAGGAGGAAGGAAGAGGATTAGAATCAGAAGGAAAGGAGGAGGAAGAGGAGGAGGAAGAGGGTTTAGATTAGAAGGGAGGAAGAGGAGTAGAAGAAGTAGAAGGAAGAGGGGAAGAAGAAGAAAGAGGAGGAGAAGGACGACCACGACAAGAAGAAGGAAAAGAGGGCATAAGAAACAGAGGAGAAGCAATCTTACGCTAATCGCGCAGCCGCTTTTTCTAAACCACAAACGAACCAACAGCCAGAGCCTAGCAGAAGCCCAAGGCGGGGACCCCAAGCCAGCCAGCACCACCAACCTTTTCCTTGCGCAGTCTTCTCCTCCTGGGATGGTCGGCGGATATAGAGCTTGAGGGTGTCCGGTCCGTCGTCTTGGCCCAGCGTCTGGATCAGCGACGACCTTCGACTCGACTCGTCCAAGGGCTCGTCGTCTAGGCCCTTGTTTTAGGGAGACAGGGAGAAGAGGAGAGGGTAGGGTGAGTCTTTAGGTCTCTCATTTTTATTGTTTTTTTTTTTTTCTTTCTTTTGTGGGGGAGGGACAGAGAGAGTGTCTCGGAAGGATTTTTATTTTTTTCATGTGATGTTCCCTAGGTTTGTTGTTTTTTATGTGGAGTTTCTACTTTAGTGTCTGTTTATATCCAAGCTTCTAAGTTTTGATTTTGTGATTCTTTATTTCTCCTTTTCTACAATAATGTGCTACATGTGTGCGAAATATATCCCTATTAAAAATATTTTCTTATCCCCCATTCCCTTCCTCCCTTCTTTCAGGTCTGTGAATGTAACCCCCAAAATATCAACAGACCCGTAAACCTATTAAGTGTTCGCTGAAACATCCTTTTATAAAGACACAGACACAAATAACAGCACAAGGCAAGACACATGAGTTGCCATTTTCATTACAGAGCTTTCATTAAATACTCATAATCAACTGATTTGACGAAGCCTGCACGCTCGAAGCACAAAGACTCCACTCTCAAAATCGCACCACGAGAAACATTGGCTGTTCTGTTCCCTCCCCGCTCCCTCGCCGGGCCCAGACACCCACCTGAACAGCTTGAACGACCTGGCCGGGTTCGATGTTCGACCTCGACCTCAGTCTGCGGATCCTCCTCGCGGCTGTGTTGTTGGAGGAGGGCGCGGCTGAGCCCGAGGCTGAGGCCTGGCTGGAGGCTGAGACGCTCTGGAGCGGCTCCTGCGTCGCCTCGCTCGAGTTGGAGACGTTGAGGTTGCTTTTCCGCCACGGAGACTTGTCCTTCTCCTTGCTGGGTAGCGGCGACTGGGCTTCTGTAAGAACGCGGGATGCTATTAGTGAGTCTTCTGTGGCAGATGTCGAAAAGGCATGAAAAAGAACGAGTGATCTCACAAGGAAAAACACGTAACTCATCCGTTTCGATGTTATTTCCTCGCCAGAATTATATCATGTAAGATACATATCGAAACATAGCAGTTACGACTCCTGCTCTGTGAACTTATTCGTTCTCATTCATATTTTCTTTCTGATATTTACTTTTACACCTATTCGTACAATCAGTGCAATTATACCAATTATACCAACAAACGAATCCCTTACACACCATACACACGCAAGCAATAATTCCAAACAAACACAAAAACGCGCATAAAACAAAACAAAACAAAAAACGAATCCCTGAAACCCAAACAGACGCCCACAAACAGCGCCACCGCGAGAGGACGCACCTTCGATCGCTTCCATGGCCCCGACCACGTCCGTCTTCTCCACCGAGGGTCGCCAGTCTTGGTACACGCGCCGGTACCCGCTTCCCCCTCCGCCGCCTCCGCCCGCGCTCGTGCTGGGGTCCTCCGAGGGCTGGTCTTCCGGCAGGGTCCCAAGGGCGGGACCGGAGGCGCTGGCACTTCCCGCGCCTTCGTCTATGTGTGGGGATGCAGTCGGGACGGGTTAGGAAGGGAGCTGAAGGAGGAGGACCAGAGACAGGGGCAGAGAGAGAGAGAGAGAGAGAGAGAGAGAGAGAGAGAGAGAGAGAGAGAGAGAGAGAAGAGAGAGAGAGAGAGAGAGAGAGAGAGAGAGAGAGAGAGAGAGAGAGAGAGAGAGAGAGAGAGAGAGAGAGAGAAAGAGAATAAAGAAAACAATAAAGACAAAAACGCATTCAAGTGAAACAGTGCCCCATAAGTATTTAAAAGTACTTATAAAACAAGAACGAATGACACGCATGCACCTTATTGAAGTCATCTATTTGGAATCTAAGGAAAATTTTCTTCTTTTTTCCCTATGTCTTGTCTTCGTATCCTAAGGGTAAGGTATGAATGGAAACAAAATCAAGTGTGACATAGAGACGGGATGAAGGGAAGAACGAAAGGTAATGTATAAGGAAAATAAAAATAAAAATGGTTGGGAGCAAGAGCGAAAAGAATACGATGTAAAGGAAGAATGCAATAAAGAGAGAATGGAATAACGGCATGGAAGATAATAAATTGAACGAACTGCAAAGGGAGAACGTAAAGAACACGATGGAAGAACGGAGAGAGGCATAGAGAAATAGAATTAACAAAGATACGAAAGAAAACATGATAAAGAGGGTGTAGATAAGACGAAAAGAAAACAAGACAAAATAGACAACAAGTGAAAGATTGTGGGAGGAACTAAATAATTTTGTGCAGTAGTGTTTAGGGAAGAAAGGGAAGAAGGGAATGCCTTAATCAAGCACCTGTGACTTCATGTTTATGTTGCGTGTATAACAATTGTGCAATTTTGAAAAGAACAAAAGAGGTTAGCTCGTAATATTTGAAAACATCAATTGAAATTTATTGACTGAAATGTGAAATATCTTAACAAATGAGAAGCAACCTTGGACAGCAATACGAACCATAACTGAACCGATAATACGAATAACATATTGTCAAATAGGACAATTAAAAAAAAAAAAAAAAAAAAAGTATCTCTTTACTCGTGATGTTTACCTTTTGCAGGTCAGCGTTATTGATTTATTGGTTTATTCTAAAAGGCAAATTGGAAACGTCTTCGTCACAGGTGCAAGACGGTCTATAAGACATCCCTTTCTTCAAAACTATTGTAACCGAGATAGAAAATGAGATGAGGGGGAAAGACCCATCCATGAATCGTGAAAAACCAAATGACCTCAAAATCTAAAAATAAAAAAAAAACACATTTCTATAAAGTCCAGGAAGAATGATGACAAAATAAGATAGGACAAACAAGAGGAATTTCCCGTAGCTCGAGAAAACAAATCTTCATCACTTACAATACCTTTTACGCGGGGAGGAAAATGCGACATTCTTACTTGGCAAATTTCCTGCAAAACTTCATGTGCGTGAAATAAAGAGAAATATTCCAGTCTGAAGATCAACAGAGGGACAGTCAAGGCAAGGATCGTCGATGAAAAAACAACAAAGAAATAATGAGATGTCAAATTTGAAGATCAAGGGCGGAACGTTGCATTAGATATTTATCCTAATAATTGATATTTTATGTAGAGTTTTAATATAACTGGAAGTGCAAGTGTGTAAAGTTGCCTCACCGTGTCGAAACGTTTACACACTTGACGTCATCTGTGATGTCTAAAAGTATTTCTAAGGAAAAGAAATGTATTACAAAATTGGTGTAATGTCAATAATTAAACTAAATGTGTCATGGTTGTGAATAATAAAAAAAAAAAAACATTCTGTCTACGAAGTCACATCAAGATCAGTGCTCTACAAAAAAAAAATATCTCTCTTAACAAATAATGCAAATCAGACGACCACAAGTCAGCAAACAAATCGCAGTCGTCTTGGATCTGGGAAAGTCTGGTCAAGGTCGGAAGCCTTTGTCGTCCGAGAAAATTCCGTACCTTCAGCTTTGGCCGAGAAAGAAACGGGACAGTTGGCCAGAAGAGGTCATGAAAAGAGAAAATAGTCATCATAAATCAAATCTCATGGCATATGAACACACAGGAGGATTTGGTACTAAAGCTACACAATCATTTCAGATAATCTGCTAAAGGTTGTTACCAAGGGTTAGCAGCGAGGAAAAGTTCGACAACGTTAGGATCATACAAGTGATCAGATTCTGGCAAATGTCTACGCAAACAATAGCAAAGAAAAGCAACTTATTACTCAAAGCAGAAACACAGCAAACAAGCAAAGAAAAACAAAAGCAAATGAATCCCAGTCTTACCGAGGGATGACGTGTCTAAGTCTAGGGATTTTCTGTGCTGGTGAAGTCGCCACTTCAAGCCCGAGCGACGTTCCTCCTCCTTCTCGTTCTCCTTGAACCAAAACTCGATCTTCTGCCGCCAATTTTTGCTGCGGAGTTCGAAATCGCGCTCGTTATTGCCGTGTTGTGTGCAGGGACGACACTTTGCATTTATTTTGAATTGTTTGGCGAAGTAGCCTCGTTTGTAGTAATAAAACACATTGCGTGTTGCATCTTATTACTTAGTTATCTATGAAAGGCGTGATATATGCAAACAACTCTACATACACCATGAATCCCCAAGACTGATAAACAGAGTATGTAACAATAGCATTCACCTGTCGCGGCTGACCTACCTGGGTCTGTTGTGGTCGGGAGGTTCCGGTTTGGTGTCCGGCGTGGAGGGCGAGGCGGGGCGCTCCCTCTCGGAGGACTCGGAGGCCAGGAGTCTCGGGCGAGTCCTTCCACCTCCTCTGGCCCGGCGAGCGAAGGACCTGTCCAAGGAGCCGTAGCCCTCTGTCGGGACAAGGAGGAAAGGATATCAAAGGGTAAAAGCTGTAGCGATGAAGGTAGATAAAACTTGTACGTTTGGATTATGAAGGGACAGATGGTGTTGTGCATGGCGGTGCAAGAGCCATGAACGGTCTACAAATGAGGAAGAGAGATATGGGTGAATAAGAGTAAACAGAGATGAAGTTCCCTGTGAACAATCCATAACATTAAGGGCGAACATAAACAACATAAATATAAACATAAACAATAAGGGCGAACTTATATCATGAATCCTTCTGCCTGAATGAAGCTTTCGAGGCACTCTTAATACAAACCACATCAATAGATCCTCAAAAAATTCGTAAACATTTCGAGAAAAGAAAAGAAAACGAAATACACGAAAGACTAAAGGGAACGACATACCCATTCCCGTCCAGGACTTCCTCTCCCTGGACCCATCGTGGCCGGACGTGTGAAGGTAGTCCATGAGTTTGTGGTCGTCCTCCTCTGACGGGACTCGGGACCGCCTCCTACGCAAGCTGCCGTTGGGCGTCACGTCTGGGGGGGGGGGGGTATTAGTAACAAGGGAAAGGAAGAATAAGACGGAGAAGAGGAAGTGCCGGAAGGCGGAGAAGAGGCGGGAGATGAAGAGGATGGAAAAAAATATATAAAATAAATACACATACATACACACGCATATATATATATATATATATATATATATATATATATATATATATATATATATATATATATATATATATATATATTATATATATATGTATATATTCTCATGATTTGTAATGTCTAAAAGCGATCTTATCTCATAAAACTTTTACATTTATCCACAGCATTTTAATTTCTTTTTACTCGTACACACCCGGTGAGTTGTGGCAGGGTGTCCCCCTGAGGCCCCGCGGGACCCGAGAAGGACCCCATCCGCCGCCGGGTCATCCGAGGCGAGTTGCACAGCGACGGCTCGTCCTCCGAGGTCATCCCTCCGTTCTGCCACGAGTCCAGCTTCTTGCCCTTCTTGTTCTGCCGGCGGAAGGGGAGGGGTGAATAAGGGAGAGGGTGAGGGGGAGGGAGTAGGAGTGATGGGGGAAGGGATGGGGGAAGTGTGAGGGAGTGTGGGGGAAGGTGAATGGGAGTGAGGGGGAGTAGGAGTAAGGGGGAAGGTGAGAGGGAGTGAGGGGGAGGTGAGGGGGAGTAGGGGGAGGGGTGGTGAGTAGGAGTGAGGGGAGAGGGTAACAAGGGGGGAAGGGTGGAGGGATTGGGGTGAAGGGGGAGGGTGAATAAAGGGGGGGTTGAGTAGGAGTGAGAGGGAGGGTAAACAAGGGGAAAGGGTGAGTGGGAGTGAGGGGGGGTGAATAAGGGGGTAGGGTGAGAGGGCGGAACGTGGGAGGGTGAATAAGGGGGGAGGGTGAGAGGATATGAACGGGGGAGGGTGAATAGAGACAAAATGACAGAGAGGTATATCATGTATATATCAAAGTATCATTTTAGCAATACTGTGCGATTCAGATTCTCAAAAAAAACATCCCTATCTAAGCAACCACACTGGAAATTCTTTTAACCCACTTGACCATAGAACCATAACCATAGAACCTTTTAACCCATTTGACATAGACCATAGAACCATTTAACCCATTTGACCATAGAACCCTAACCATAGAACCTCTTAACCCACTTGACCAAAGAACAAATTGTCCTCCGTACCAAACAAATAATACCCGATCTGTTTTTTTTATTTTTCTATCTTTTATTTTTTTATCTATCTATTTATTTATTTTTATTATTTCATTATTATTATTTTATTATCATTATTTTACCTTGTTCAGTATCCAGCAACCGAAACAAAACAAATAATACCCGATTGTTTTTTATTTTTCTATTTTTTATCTATTTATCTATCTATTTATTTATTTTTTATTATTACTGTTATTATAATTATTTTTACCTTGTTCAGTATCCCAGCAACCGAAACAAAACAAATAATACCCCGATCTGTTTTTTTTTATTTTTCTATCTTCTATTTTTTATCTATCTATTTATTTATCCTTTTATCACTATTATTATTATTTTTACCTTGTTTTCAATTTTTTTTTCATCTATTTATTTTTATTTAATTCTTATCTTTACCTTGTTCAGTGCCATTTTTATCTATCTATTTATTTATTATCTTATCATTATTATTCTTATCTTTACCTTGTTCAGTGCCATTTTTATCTATCTATTTATTTATTATCTTATCATTATTATTCTTATTTTCCCTTGTTTCAGTGCCATTATCTATCTATTTTTTATTATCTTATCATTATTATCTTATCTTTACCTTGTTCAGTGCCATTTTTATCTATCTGATTTATTTATTATTATATCTATTATTCTTATCTTTACCTTGTTCAGTGCCATTTTTTATCTATCTTTATTTATTATTTTCATTATTATTCTTATCTTTACCTTGTTTGTATCATTTTTATATAATCTATATTATTATTATCTTATCATTATTATTCTTATCTTTACCTTGTTCAGTGCCATTTTTATCTATCTATTTATTTATTATCTTATCATTATTATTCTTATCTTTACCTTGTTCAGTGCCATTTTTATCTATCTATTTATTTATTATCTTATCATTATTATTCTTAATCTTACTTGTTCAGTGCCATTTTATCTTATCTATTTATTTATTATCTTATATTATTTCTTATTTTACCTTGTTCAGTGCCATTTTTAATCTATCTATTTTTTATTATCTATCATTATTATCCTTATCTTTTACCTTGTTCATTATTTTTTCTCTCTATTTATTATATCTTATCATATTTATTCTTATCTTTACCTGTTCAGTGCCATTTTTATCTATCTATTTATTTATATCTTATCATTATTCTTATCTTTACCTTGTTCAGTGCCATTTTTATTATCATCTATTTATTTATTATCTTATCATTATATTCTATCTTTACCTTGTTCAGTGCATTTTATCTTATCTATTATTATTATTATCTTATCATTAATTATTCTTATCTTTACCTTGTTCAGTGCATTTTTAATATCTATTTATTTTATTATCTTATTCTTCTTATTCTTATCTTTACCTTGTTCAGTGCCATTTTTATCTATCTATTTATTCATTATCTTATCATTATCATTCTTATTTACCCTTGTTCAGTGCCATTTTATCTATCTATTTATTCATATCTTATCATTATTATCCTTATCTTTACTTGTTCAGTGCCATTTTTATCTATCTATTTATTTATTATCTTTATTATTATCCTTATCTTTACCTTGTTCAGTGCCATTTTTTATTCTATCTATTTATCATTATCTTACATTATTTATTATTTTTACCTTGTTTTTTCATTTTTTTATCTATTTATTATTTTTCATTCTTATTATCTTTACTTGTTCAGTGCCATTTTTATCTATCTATTTATTCATTATCTTATCATTATTCTATTTTACCTTGTTCAGTGCCAGCTCCGCGTACTTCCTCTGCGTGAAGCCCGATCGTATATCCGACAGAAGGTTCTCCATGATGTTGACCTCGGACTCGGAGCCGCTGAAGGAGCCCGGGCGAGGCTGCGACCCGCCTGCGGAGCCCGAGGAGGGATGAGTAAGGGGCGAGGGGGAGGGGGGAGGAAGGGGGGGTGAGTAAGGGGCGAGGGAGGGATGAGTAAGGGGCGAGGGAGGGATGAGTAAGGGGCGAGGGAGGGATGAGTAAGGGCGAGGGAGGGATGAGTAAGGGGCGAGGGAAGGGGGGGGGGGAAGGGGGGGATGAGTAAGGGCGAGGGAGAGTAAGGGGCGTGAGTAAGGGGCGAGGGAGGGATGAGTAAGGGGCGAGGGAAGGGATGAGTAAGGGGCGAGGGGGATGAGTAAGGGGCGAGGGAGGGGGGGGGAGAGGAGGGATGAGTAAAAGGCGAGGGAGGGGGGGGGGGAGGGGGGGGAGGAGAAGGGGGCGTGAGTGTGAACATGTGTCGGTCTGTGCTCAAGAATGTAGACATGAATGTGAGGAACAGAGAGAAATACGGCTAAAACACGCTACCGTCTTCAATAAAATGTAAATAAATAAATAAATAAATAAATAATTTAAAAATAAAAATATGTGAATGTATTTCAAAAAAATATAATATATATATATATATATATATATATATATATATATATATATATAAATATATATATATAAATGTATCTCAAAAAATGTAAAAAAAAAATGAATAAATAATTTTTTAAAAAAATGTAAAAAGGATATATAAAATGTATTTCAAAAAAAATATATTAAAAATATATATATAAATGTATTTCAAAAAATGTTTAAAAAAATGAATCAATAATCAAAAAATTAAAAAGAATATATAAATGTATTTCAAAAAATGTAACCAAAAAATATATAATATATATAAAAAAATGTAAAAAAAAAAACACGTCAAATTACAAACTATCTGCCATCTCCACTTCCGTAAGGTCCAAATTAAAAGTAAATAACAAGGGACCAGGGCCTCTATGACTCACCCTGCGAGGACGACCTTCTCTTGACTGCGTTCTCCTCTCTCGTTCTCCTCCTGATCTCTGCCTGTTCTTCCTGCTGTCTGCGTCGCTCGTTCTCCGTGATCGCTTGCTTGAACCTAACGGGAAGGAGGGAACAGCGTGAAAAAAGGTTCTAATTCTAGTGATAAGGAATAGTTCTTAAAAATGGCGGTTAATCCGGGAGGGAGGAAGGGAGAGAGAGAGAGAGAATAAAAAAAAAAACAATAACTGAGAAACAGAAAAAGAAAGCGAGAGCAAAAACAACAGACCAAATAATAAGCAGTTACGAACCGTTTTAATGTTGCAAATGTGAAAGGTATGGATGAGAACGAATATCTTCACATACAAGAGATGTATTTAACCGGTTTCGATTATATCTTTCCACAATAAGCAGTACCAAAAAGACTAAAATAGAAGCAAAAACGGAAAATGCGAAAAAAGAAAGAAAGAAAGAAAAAAAGAAAAATATCACAAACGAAATCCAGACGGGACCTCCACCCTCCACCACCCTTCCATGCCCCTCCCCACCCCTCCCCCTCACACCCATCGTACAACCTCCCACCTCTCCCCTCCTTCGCTTCCACCTGCCCCTCCCCCCTTCTCTTTCCACCTCCACCCCCTCCTCTCTCCTCCTTACCACACTCACCTCCACCGTCTCCCCTCCTCCTATCCAATCCTCCTCCCACTCCCGCCTCCTCCTTCCCCTTCCACCTCCTCCTTCCCCCTCCAACCTCCTCCCCCCCCTCCTCCTCCTCCTCCTCTCCCGCTCGGACCACCCACCTACACCTCTTCCCCTCCCCTTCCACCTCCCCTCCTTCTCTTCCTCCCTCCACCCCCCTCCTTCCCTCTCTCCTTCCACCTCCCCCTCCTCCTCCCCCCTTCTCCTTCCAACTCTCTCTCCACCTCCCCCTCCCTCCTCCTCCCTTCCCCTACCCTCTCTTTCCACCTCCCCCCTCCTTCCATCCTCGCTTCCCACCCTCCACTCCCTCCCCCTCCTTCCACCCTCCTCTCCCCACTCCCCTCTCTTTCCACCTCCTCCTCCCCTCACCCCCCCCCTCAACCCAACTCCACCTCCCCCTCCCTTCTCCCCTTCCACCTCCCTCCCCCCTTCTTCCACCTCCACTTCCCTCCCTCCCCTCCTCCTTCCACCTTCACCTTCACCTCCGACCTCCTCCCTCCTCCTCTCCGATTCCCCTCCCCACTCCCCCGCTCTCTTTTCCACCTCTCCTCCCCTTCCTCCTTCACTCCCCTCGCCCTCCTTCCCCCTCCTTCCTTCCCTCCCCCCCTCCCTCCTCTTTTCCACTCCCCTCGAAAAAAAGAAGAAAAATACCACAAGCGAAATCCAGACGACCACCCACCTTGAGCAGAAGTTGCACAGGATCTTGAAGCATTCCTCGAGCTTGAAGGCGTTGGGGTCCTCGCAGAAGTACTCGGCCACGTCCACCTTGACCTTGGCCACCTCCGCGATGCCCTCCTTCAGGGAGTTCAGGTCCTTGGCGGCAACCTGGCGAAGGGAGAGGTGTTTGTCATCTGCTGTTTTGTCTGTCTGCTCCATTTTTTATTTTTATTTTTTATTTTTTTATTATTTTTTATTTATTATTTTTTTTGTGTGTGAAATTGAATTATTTATCGTTAATTTATCTCATTTTATTACAATTATATTCATCATCAACATCAATTCTATTTATTATGTAATTATTATTATCATATTATTATTATTAATTATTATTATTATTATTATTATTATTATTAATATATATATATATATATATATATATATATATATATATATATATATATATATATATATATATATATATTATATATATATAATATATTTTTTTTTTTTTTTTTTTTTTTTTTTTTTTTTTTTGTAAAATTGAATTCTTTATCATTAATTTATCCTCATCTTCATTAAATTATATTTAATTCATCAACTATTATTATATTAAATATTATAATCATTTTTTTGCGTAAAATTGAATTCTTTATTCATTAATTTATCCTCATCTTCATTACAATTATATTTATCATCAACATCATTATTACTATTATAATTATTAATAGTAATCATCCTCATTAATGCTTTAACTATCGGGTTTATAATTGTTTTGTTTTTACTTCATTATTATTTTAGTTATTATATTACTAATTTCAACTTATCATTATCATCATTATCATTATTTATCTATCATCATTATATTATCATATTATCATCATTAGTATATCATTATATCATCATTAGTATTATCATTATTATCATCATTAGTATCATCATTATCAATCATCATTTAGTCATTATCAATTATTGTTACATCAATTAGTATTATCATTATTGTTTATCATCAATTAGTATATCATTATTGTTATCATCATTAGTATTATCATTATTGTTATCATCATTAGTATTACCTTATCATCATTATACTAACTACACCGTTACTATAATCCCTATCATTGTTCCTTAAAGTGAACGGTCGAGTAAGGCAACACACAGTTGAATAGGCTCCATCACATATAGAAAAAAATCTATTTATGTTTTACATTCTCCAATATAACTCCCAGTCTTGGAGGCAGCAATCCCCCCCCCCCCCGCCCACTACCCCCCACACACATTCCTTGATGTAGTTCTCCTCCTACAGAAGGACGACCTACATCAAGAACCAGTAAGCCCATATCCTACAGAATGAAAACTCTTAATATCCAGGAACTACATAACTTTCCGATCATCCAGAAAGGGTAACCAAGCACTCTCTATACAAAAAAACACTTTGCTTTTATAAAACAAAAAAAAAAAAAAAAAAAAAAAAAAAAAACTTTTATCCCAGAGAAAATATCCTAAACCCAAACTCCTGCAGAAGGACGCCGAAGGACTGGCTCTCACCTGTAGGAAGTCTCCCATCTGCGCCGTGATGTCCCTGGGCGTGGAGGGGGCGCTCAGCTGCTGGGACAGTTTGGCGATGCGGGCGTCCAGCTGGTTCATCTCGCTGGTCAGCTGTTCCATGGTGGTTCTGGGGAGAGGGAGAAGGAGGTCAGGAACAGTAGCATTTTTTATGTAAGGGAGGATTGGTAGGGAGAAAGAAAGGGAGAGGGTGGGAAAGGAAGCAGGAGAGGGAGAGGAGGGAAGGAAAGGGAGAGAAACACACACGGCACTCGCGCACA